CAAATTAGTATTTTGACATGGGCAAAGGTGAAGCATATTGCGGTCAGCTCCTTTAAAACTACTGTTTATCTTTCGTGCCATAAATTTGAAACTGATATATTTTATAGCTTATATATTTACTTTTAAATGCTTCACTGATTACCTAAAAGAAAAGCTCTGAAAAGAGAACCAAAGGAATAGTGAAATATCAGAAAAGTATGTAAAGTCTTCAGAAAAAGGCTATAATGCTAACTAGAATAGCTGAGTTTGCCCTCATCATGGAAAACGTAATCAGGGAATATGATGTAATGAATATTGAATTGTCCTGGAAAGTATCATACTGCATTTGCTATCAACCCATTTTGCCATGTAAATCTTTTAAGATCCCTCTTTAAGAAAAGAATTTATAAGCGGTTAATTACTTCTTCAAGGCAAAGAGAAATTGATGTCAGTACTGTCTTTTTTTAAAGGTTGGGAGAAATGAAAAATTTGGAATCACTTGCTAAAGAATTCTACAAATATGTTAAAGATATTTTTTTCTCTTGCTCTTGCCTATCACTTTTATCCTATCCTTTTCTCTGAAAGAATCATACTATTTTCAACTTTCCTCTTGGTTTTAATAAATGCGTAAAAGATGTTACTGTCTCACAATCTTTATAGTGCTGCATATCCATCTGCAGGAGAGAGGGTAGGGACTGAACGACAAAACTTAGCAAGCCAAAAGACATGTGCAATCTCACAGTGAAAATATAAAGATGGGGTGTTATTTCTACATCTTTGAAGTTTTGACTGGCTGCTTATGCAGTGAAGAGAATTCTGGGAGAATACATGAAAACAGGTCTGTAATTGTCCCTGCTACCCATTCATTAAGGAGATCAATGGGGGTCTGTTACTTGAGAGCCTTTTAATTTACTTGCATAAGTTCAGTAACACATGTTTTTTTCTGATTAGTGTTATCACTGTATTTACTTTTAAACCTTATGCCACACTAAATATAATTTTCATTGGAAAAATAAAAATATTGCTTTTCTTTTTATTTTGTTAAATAATTCCATAATAAATTAATCCTCTGGGTTTCTTTCAAAGAGAGACTGTTTTACACTGATGGGGCTGTTCTGAAGCATACATAGCATTGACATTTTAACATGCAAGAAGCACGTATTTGATATTAATTTTTTGTCACTCGGGTAGAGAAAAAGGTGTGCGGGATGGCATCCACCAAGAATTTATAAGGAAACTCAGTGTTGGGATATTGGAGGGTAACAAGTGAGAAACCAGTTTTTCAAAAAGGATGCAAGGAAGATTATACCTTCGAAAGAAATTATACACTGTTCAGTTCAGTGTCTTTTTTGGGGAAAGCAAAAATGACCAAGCTCATATAATAATGAAGAGAAATTATCACAGGTTCTGCAATAATAAATTCTTCCTCACCACCTTCAGAAAAGGGGAAGGAGATGACCATGTCAAAATGATATATATAGGACATTCAAATGTCATCTTTTGGGGTGAAATATCTTGTTACTTGTTACCCCCCTTAATTTTATATCTGGCTATTATTTCATCAAAATTTTGTCTTATGAACTCTGTAGTTGCATAATGATTAGTACTTCCGTATCCATGTAGCATTTCAACTTGCATTTCTCTCCTTAAATTTTAATTCCAAATATTTATTTGTTTGTATGAATCTTGTCTATGAAAATATCTACACCAGTTAGAAATAATAAGGGATACGGTGGGCACTTTTCCCTGGTTCCTTTTCTCAATGAACAACTCATGCCAAGTATTCTACTTTTTTTAATTTTTGCTATTTGCCATTGATATATACTCTCCACCTAAGTTCATTTTCTTTAAAACTGCTAATAAAAAAGGTTATTTGAAGTTATCGAAGTCTTTTTCAGTATCTAAAATATTACTGCTATCTTTTTTTTGTAACTGTTGATATTTTCTAATGCATTTATTTAAAAAAGTTACTGTCATCCTTAATTTTTTTCTTGAAATACCATATAACCTGTTTAATCTGTTTGCATTATTTCAGAAATATTCTATTCCTCCATTTAAAATGATTATTAAATCCAGTATGTTTATATATTGAAAGGTGTTTGGGGAGAGCTTTCCCATATTTTTCTGGAGAAAAGATAAATGCTAGAACTACTTCTCGGATATGCATATATAAATCACCAGGAGAATTTGCCTTGGTTCTTTTAAACTATACCATGCTACATTTTATAGATTCAGTTATTCCGGCTATCCAATCCATTAAAAAGAATCTGATGATAATTCATTATTTTTTCATAAACTTAAAGTGGAGACACTTTGTGAATGTTCCGAAAGACTTGCAGTATTTTCTAGTTGATTGGCTCAGAATAAGAAATACATTTTTTAGCATTATTTTTTGATTGCTTATCAAATTTGCTGGAATATCCCTGTTGGCAGTGGGGTTAATTAATAGATTGTAACAATACAAATAAAGCAAATGGGACTGGTAGAAAAAGATACACTATATCCTAATCCTTAATAGGATTATTGCTAGCCATACCTTCTGTCAACTCAACTCAAGTCTTTACTTGATTTTGAAATAGAGCAAATCTCAATATTCTGCAGAGAGAACATTTCAAGATCAAAACATGACTACAAATTTTAGAAAAGCATTTTGTATTTTGCCTCTTCCAGTTTTCTGGAACTGAAGTCCTTGCAATGTTTTGTCTTCCAGCCCTTATTGCTTGTATAATTTTTTCTATCACATTTCAAAAAACGAGCACACATTGAAAAACTGCTGAAGCTCACTTAAAGTATTAATTAGTGAGAGGAAAGCAAAAGCAAATGATATGCCATCTCCAAATACAACATTTAGGTAGTGCTACCAAGCTAAGAACAGGGATGGTTCTACCGGTTTGGCCCGATTCTATAAAAGCAATAGTTCTGAAGAGCAGCTGACACTGAATCAGTTCTCTCTGAAGATCTTTTCTTCAGTTGGGCCCACCGACCCACCCACATGGGCTCTAGGCTGTCTTTTATTCTTACCTGAGTTGCTTTGCGCAGCACAGCTGAGACCTGCACATCAGCAGGAGATGGTGATTGCTTGCAGGAGAAGTTGTTTTGCAAGTATTGTGCATGCGCACGCAGTGGAAAAGTTGTTTTGCAAGTACTGAGCACACATGTGCAGCAAAACCGCGCACTCACCGAATTGGTTGTTATGCCGGTAGTATCCCACCCCTGGCTAAGAAGTACTGTAACATGATATTGCATTATAAAATAACCATCCAAGAATCAAGACTTGTAACAGGTAAAAAATGCACTAGAAGAAAAGAAAAAAAAGTTATCTATAGCTTTTGAAGGTAGCTGAAGTAATGCCATACCATTAACGATCGATGTCTCTGTTAGATAAAGTGTTCCATTAACATTCCAGGGTCACAAGCTCCTAAGCAGCATAAAGCTGTTTCTGAGTATATACTCCTCGCTAGAGAATACTAAAACAAGGGCAAGGTATAAAAAAATAGGGTATCATCAAAGATATTAGTAGACCCAGGTGTCTGTGTAGTGAATTACTGCTGTGCAAAAAGAAACCATTTCATGGGTGGAAGAAATAGAATGCAATCTTAAGTAGCTTCATGTTTCAGTAAAAGCAATCATTTTCCAAATGGTTGGATAGAAATTATTAAAATGGAAGAAGTGAACCCTGCTGTTCAGTTGTAATACCATAAAATGTATTTTTTTGGCCAAAAGAAAAGATATGTTTGTAATTAGCATCTCCTCCAGATCCATTGGCAGTCAAGTAGCCCTTGTGATGTCTAATAATGTGTATTTCTACATCCCAATGGCAGCTCCTTTGGAAAGAAGTGCAGAATGAGGTCAAAAGTATTGGAAAACTATGTTCTCTTACTCAGACAAAGGGACAAACATCTCTCACAGTATTGTCCAGTGTTTCCAAGATTAAAATAGCGGAATTGTTCAAAAAGCATAGAAATGCTTATGTCACTTAGAAGTAGAATGTAAATCTTAACTGTTATTCACTGTAAAGAGAAAAATCTCCTTACAGAAATTTGAGACTAAATTTTAGCTTAATTTACAGTCACATCTTATCATTAAACTTAAGCCTGCAATTCCTTTTTATCGGATAGATTCCTAAGTTATCAAGCCTTTATTTTTGTACATTAATATGAAACAATGTTCCATTTAAAGCTTTTATCTTCATTTCATAGTACTGTAGAGGAAGGGTTAATTGATACACAGAAGAGTATATGCCATAGTACAGAGGAATTTATACACAAGTTATACATTCATCTTAAAATAATGAAAAATTAAGTAGTTGGGGTCATTTACAGTATTAAAGAGCAGTAGACTGACTACCATTTTATATGATATAAGTTGGAACTTTGCAAGGTTCCATTCTGTCTGGTTAGTGCAGTTACAGAAATAGAACAGTATCATAATATCTTGATTCATGTGATAAAGACATTAATGAGAAATACCAAGTTAATCAGAGTTTAAATTAAAATTCAATCAAAAATAATTGTATGAGAAAAACACAGAACCTAAATTGCAGTCTACAGATATTTTAAAGACTGCCGTCTTCAGTTCAGAAATCTTGGTCTACTTTTGCCACTATCAAAAGCAGTAGCAGTCAGTGAAAGGTGAAAGTAAATAGAATATCTAGGTCCATTTATCTGCAAATAAAAATGTGTTCTTAATTATATTCATTAATAGCAATGAGGGGAAAAAGTGGGGGGAAAGGGAATGAAAATTGCTGTAAATAAACCATGGACCTAAGAAAAGTCGCAGAAGAAAGAAATATGAGATTACAAATTTGTATACATCACACTAATTCATCCAACTGATGGGACTGAAATTTGCCTTTTCAAAATGTGTAGCATGTTGGGTTTAGAAAGTGCAATTCATTAAAAATCATAACATGAAAGGCTAAGCTAGGGTAGTCTCTTGTATAAGATTTTGAGCTAGAACTGTGCCACTTTTTTTATAGATAATGTAGATCACATTCTATTTTCCACTTATCTTTTCTGCAGGCAGGGGACAAACATTACCATCCAAGTTGTGCACGATGCAGCAGATGCAACCAAATGTTCACAGAAGGAGAAGAAATGTATCTGCAAGGTATAGAAATTATATATTGATAATATACATATATAGACAGAAGCTGCAGTTAATGCTGAATGCAGAAACATTATGGGCCTGCGCCAGCTTCCAGGTGCAATTCAAGATACTGGTTATTACCTATAAAGCCCTTCATGGTAAGATTATCTTAAGAAATTCCATTGTTTCTTCTTATCCTGTACAAGTGGAAAAAATTGTTATGGTCCAGGTCCCATCCATTAAACAGCAAGTTCTGATGAAGCTCACTTTCTTTTCTTTTTTTTTTTAATAAAGTTTTATTGAGTTTTAACAAAACAAATAAAACATCTTATTTGAGTACAGCATGGTTCTGGGTTATCACATTTCCATACAGACACAATTTCATATGCATACTCATCTTATGTATTCAACTTCATATCTTATTACTCTTTTT